GGACAGCGGCCGGGGCTCTGCGCAGCCCGCCAGGCTGGACCCCGCGCTGCTGGGGCTGCTCGTGTGCCCGCTGTCCAAGCGCCCGCTCCGGTACGCACTTGTGTGAACCCACGCGCGCACACACACACACATATGCACACAGGTGTAGATGAGCGCATGTGTGTGCGCGCGCACGGGCTCTCCTCCTTGAATCCGCAGCCGTGACCTGTTCGTTTTTCACGCAGGTATGAAGAATCCACCAACGAGCTGATCAACGAGGAGCTGGGCATTGCCTACCCGGTGGTGGACGGCATCCCTAACATGATACCGCAGGTGGCAAGGAAGATCGAGGCCGAGCCTCCTCACCCCACAGGCGAGGAGTCAAAGCAAAGCTAGATAGTGCTGTCCCAGAGAGCAAAGCTAGAGACTGAGAGGCTCATGTGTGAGCAGTAGTCATGTTCCTGTCACTGCCTACGCTGACAGTGCTCGTCCCGCTGCTGTCCTTGGTTGGCTTGTTTTATTCGGCCACCATGGATGAAAACTTCCCACAGGGCTGCACCAGCACCAGCAGCTTATGTTTCTACAGTCTGCTGCTTCCTGTTACGATCCCCGTGTACGTGTTCTTCCACCTGTGGACCTGGATGGGCATTAAACTTTTTAGACACAACTAAGACAGGCAGACAGCCCGAGGGCACTGCCCAGTGGGCTCATCAATCACAGGGCCTCTGTGGTAGTTGTGTAGCTTATTTTAGCTGTACACTAATATTATATTCCATGTAACTGGGATAGTCTCTTCCTCCCTTGCTCTCTCTCAATAATGATGACCTTTATCACCTTCCTCCTGGCACTTCACAATGATCTACAGAGGACTTTGTGTATGACTGCTTAATTTCTGCCAGATAAGATAATTAAGTACATTTGTCCTTGCCCCTCAAAATCCAGAGGTGCACTGTAGTAGTGTGAAAGCATATTACAGTGGGTGTTTGTCTTTGCCCTGAATGACTCCATGTACTGACTGAAATACAGTTTAATTACTTACTCAGGTTGTTATAATAAACAGTAATGTGGGCTGCTCTTTAAAGATGGCAGTGTCTGTCTTTAGGTGCGTTGCTAGGTTGAACAGATTTATTCATGAAATGCTTCTGCCACTGTGCTATGAAAATGCAGTGTAATAAATCAAAACACTGTGCAACAGCAAACTTGTCTGTGCAAAGATTTTTTTTAATCCATGTGAGCTTTAGACTTGTTAGGGTCACTGCAGCCATGTTTTGAGGGTAGTCATCCATGCACATCCAACACCCCACCCCTTTTATTTAAAAAAAAAAAACCAAGGTGGGGTATCTATGTCACTCCAATACGATTTCCTTCTAGATCAGCAGGTCTGGCACAATTATTCAGGCAAGAAGTGCCATGAAATAGTAGTTTGGCAGCTGCTTTAATTTATTCCAACTGGCAGTGGCCTGTAACAGCTGACAATAAGGCAATAGGCTCAAAAATGCCTTCTAACACACCCCCTTGCTAGCTTTACATTGACTGAGGAGATGCAGTACTGAGAACAAGTCAGGATTGGGACTCTGACCCACTGAAGTACCCACTGCTCTAGGCAAAAACACAGTCCAGATAACTAATCTGAGCAGACTTTCCTATCTTTTGATACGCTGCTTAGTGAAGCAACAAAACCATAGGCAAGATATTGTGGACACTTACTGCTGTGGGGCAGCAGGGTCAGTACCTTAAGACAGCTGGTGGCCTCCTGTGGGAAGAGATGGGTAGCTGCCAAAAGCAAGTAAATAGGGACACAAAAGTTCTGGCATTAACCAGGTCTTGGTGAGATGGGTCTGAGAACATAGACAAGAGCCAGAGTACTCCAGCAAGCAGCGCTTCTATAATGTGAGCCAAGTGTGTAGCCTCTGATCTGGCAGCAAGGTTCTGGTACACCCACAGCATAGAGCAGAACCCCATTACCATTTTTTAGCCATATCTCACTGCAAGACTGGCCCTTATTCCTCAGTCATATCATTGTTCTTCTAGGATACTTTTTGCTAGATCAAGAGAAGTGGGACCTGAAACCTGCTATTTAGCTACACCTTGTCGGCTCCCATGGTGTGCCCCCAACACACCTCATTTTTGTTGTGCAGGGACCATCTACAAGAAGGAAGACAGAAGTTCAGTCCCTGTAGAAGTCAGTCCTTGGCCTCTGTCCAATTGTGGAGAAGACTGCTGGCAAAAACTAGTGTTTTCATCACCCATCACTTCACCTCTAGCAAACTACTGCAGAGCCATGAAAGAAGCGACACTTGGATATCCATTATTAATTTAGCTAACTAGTCCCATCGTTCAAAGTGATTTCATAATAAAAATAAGCCACCCTGTCTTTTGCTGGCTGCTTTTTGTCATTTGCTCTAAGCCTAAATGGAACGTGCTTTTAAGTAGCTGGCATAGTACTTTCTCCCTCCTTTAGTTTTTGACTGGATTTTAAATGCTCCTGAATTCTGAAAAAAAAGATTCCATTGTTGGTTATTAATTATATTGAAAGGCTGAAGCACTCCAGAACAATACATTCAGAGCTAACCAATTAGTAAAGCTTAATTTCTTCTAAAGGTCTCATATGTTGTAGGCAGTCTGAACCTTAGAGTCTGCAAGGCACCAAGCACTAGGTGTTCTTTTCTAATGTGCAAAATCCATGGATGATAGGCACTTGAAAAGTACCTAAGGGGTGAAAAAACCAAAAGCAGTGTTCTAAAAGCTTTATCTTTGTTTTTAATAATAAAAAACATGACTTCAGCAGTACCTACCCTGCAGGCCAATTTGTGAACCACAATCTTATCCTTTGTGCCAAAGATCCATGGGTACTTTGTCAGCTCCTGTCAAATCATCTCAGATGGCAAGATAGATAAGTAGCTTTTAATGTGAGAAATGTTCACATCAGAAGACACCAGTATCAAGGTAACTTCCCAAAAGGAACCTTCACAAATGTGGGAACATGCCCATTTGAGTATGCAAAATCCATCCCAACTGGACAGATGCTTGTGGTTCTATTCCCCACCCACACTTCAATTCTTAAATTCCTTATTTCACACCTTTATACACTGGGAATCAAAGTGAAAACATTACTGAAGTAGCTGAAATCAGAATCCATCTCAGCATTGTGCATACTCACTACAGGGCCTTCCTCTATAAAAATCTGTAGGTATATTTTTAAAGCTGCTTTGGAACAATTACATCACTAGAAGAGGTAACAATTTATACAAATTCTGCATATTTTCTTTAAAAATCTGAATCATAGTAATAAGGTTTCTTTTTCAATGTTCTCAAATTTCACTCATAGTCATTATTATAAAGTACATTCAAAAGTATACATTAACCAACTACAGTAGATAGTGAGCATAGTTTGTAAACACAGGTTTAACACACTTTTATGGATTTCACCCATAGTGGAAAACTTGCAAGGTACAACCCAAGTCACTTCACTGGTGAGTTCTAAAGCAAATTTGCAAGCAAGTCTGGTGTGGAAAGTTCTGAACGGTGCTACATATTACAGTGTTTATGCCTATCTGACTATGCCTGGAGTAAATAACTGGAGAAGGATCCAGTCAAGTGTGCTTCCCAAATTGTTTTGGAACAAAACAAGGGTCAGTCTGCTGCAACAAGTTACAGCATCTTGATCTTTGTGATTAACTGGTCATACTCAGCTTGGGAGTTAATCATCCAAAAGAAGGCAGGGATGTAAATCACACTACTATCCTATTAAAGATGGTGGAGGACAGACAGCACCCTATAGAATGTCTAGAAGCAGACAGTGTTTATATGGATTCCTAATTGCTAAATTCTGCTGATTAGGGCATTTGCTACCACTGTGGGTTTCTATTGCTGATGACTATAGTTCAATGCCCTGCAACTAAGAGTGGGTCCCTGCTCCTAAGTCAATGAAAAGACACCCAGATGCTTCAATGGGAAGAGAACCACGCTCTGCATGAGCTATCGTTAATCTGCAATAACACAGATAAGAAAGGAAAATATTAATGGAATGCTGAACACATACCATGTTACAGGTGAATTTTACTGTTCAATTTTGTACAACGTTCTGCAATATTTCCCCTGCTTCTGCTAACCTGTTAGACAAGCTACTTCCTGCCCAATGTCCCTTGTAGGAATTAGGAGGGGCAGTAACTGTTTCTTGGAGAAACCACGGAGATGCTGGAGGAACCAGTCAGTCTCAAGACCCAATGAAAACTAATTTGATTTAAGGAGTATTTAGACCAGGACACGTTGAGGCTAAATTATAATCGATCTAAGCAGATGTTTGAGTGCTGGCAGGTTCAATGTGCCAGCCACACATTCTGCGCTACTCTACTCTGCATTTGTTATTGCTCTGTGCAGTACTGTCTCTGGCAACTGTTTTTCCAGATGACTGAGTGATCCTGTAATGTCCAGGAGGAGGAGGAGTATCATGGTTTTACTGGACTTCATTATTAAAGCCAGACTCCTCTTTTTAGTTGGATGTAAACTTACTATGTACCATTTTTGTAACAGAGCCTGGGACTCTCT